CCCCAAAACCCCAAAACCCCAAAACCCCAAAACCCCAAAACCCCACTAAGCAAATATTTGGCTAAGTTAAATATATTAGTGAATAGAAATTATAGCTTAAAATAGGTTTGCATTTTATAGGTTGAATGAATCAATCAATATCTTAGAGCCAAAAAGGCAGCGACTCCAGCACAAATCCATCTGTCTTCCTCTTCCTTGCTTGGGAGTTCGATCAACATGACGAAGTTGGTTGAGTGACCTGTTGTCGACAAAGTTCCTGCTCTTGACAGCACCTTGTACACTGGACATTGATAAATACCCTATAAGATGTTAATAATGTTCGAATGACTTACAGTGTCTGGTTTCTTTCTGTTTTTCTTAGGTAGGAACCAACACATGGGAACCTCAGTATACAGTTACTTTGGCTTAGAATCGTCTAGCATGTGAGTAGTGCTATTCCATCTGGCTCCTTCCAAATACATACCTAAATAGAGTGTTAAAGATTGAATGTCTTACCCCAGATGAAGCAACCGTCTTCTGGCTTCTCTGAAACTTCCTAAGGAGTGATCTCGTCGTAAATCTTGACTTCAAAGTCAAGCTCATCAATAGCAATAACGTGCTTTCTAGCATAATTCTGCAAGATACCTGTGAAGAAGGCCTGAGGGAAGAAGAACCCTGAAATCCAGAACACAGCTGGAGTACCTCCATCTATCCACTTCTTAAGGAAAACGACTCTATCATTGAGGTCTTGAATCCAAGAAGCAAGTGGTTTTAAGGAAAGGAAACCTACATCTGCCCATTTGTTTGGAACCTGATTATCGAATAGAGATGAGGCCATCTTTTCTAAGTCTTCACTCATAACAACTTCTCCCTTGACTGCTTTTTGTACGTTAGCGAGCATCTCAGCCATCATAGTCAGGAGTTTGTTGTATCTGATTACTTCTTAGGTCAGCACAGTATTCATAGACTCAGTGTATTCAGTAGGATACTTCTCTATAACGAATTCTAGATCGAAAGCAGGGGGAGTCTTGCCAGCAATATCAATTGCTATCTCCATAATTACTTGCTCTCTAGTCTTTCCACCAGCTGCAGAGGCTCTTGGTTGAATTGACAAGATGCTTTCTAAAATTCTTCTGGTCTCTGTTTGATTGGTTGTAATTTCTGCGTTTTCGTGAAGACCAAAAGCTTCTGGATGAGGATTAAATGGCAGGTCTTTGATGTAGTTTACATAATCATCCTAGGTGTTGGCAGGTATAGAAATGTATTTGCCGCTCTCAGAGAATCTATGTCCATCAGTCATGATACCCTCATTGATGTATTTTCTCAAAATAGTCTTGATAAGTCTAACGTCCTTATCATCAGTAACTCTACCTCCATAGTTGATTTCAGATCCCAAATAGTTAAGTACCTTATAAGGAATGATCTCATATTCATCTAAGAAAAGCTTAAGTTGCTTCATACAGACATCAAAGTCCTCATAGGTGAAGGCATAAGGAATGTTCCATCCAATTGGCCCGAACTTTCTTCTATCCTGCACAATAGCATGGAAAAATGCGAAACCGAAAAGCAATTTCTTGTACTCTCTTGGCTTTTTGCAATCATTTAGAATCTTGTTATCAAGGAGCGCATAAGAACGCATAAGATTTGCTCTTAGACCTTGGGGTGGCTCAAGAGTCATCTTGACTGAGTTTTGCAAAGTGGATACTGGGAACTTCTCATTAGGCATGGAAGTAAGCCACATTCTGAAGTCTGGGTGAATTTGGTTGTTCAATCCCTCGACTATGATTTCAAGCTTTGGCATCCAAGACACAGCCAAATGGCAGTTTTGAAGAAGGACCCAACCTCCCTTTGCTTTTGCTTCGTCAATCATTCTTTCGGCTTTCTTGTCTTGACCTTGACCCAGTGAAATCATCTCAGTTCTCTTAAGCATCTCCTGCTCTTCAGAGAATTTCTTGAAGTCAGCAACTGGATCGGAACCAGAACTCAATACGAAAATTAGAGGTGTAAGTAGAGTTGAGTCTTTGTAGCAAGCTCTGATATTAAATGTAGGAGGGTCAATGAATTCCTTGCCGATCTTTTCAATGATATAGTTACAAATAGCTTAGCTGATCTTGTCTGGTCTGATTGCCTTAAGGACCAGCATCTTTTGCAATGAGTTAAGCTTGCTGTTCCATTCACCTGGAAGTGGTTCTTCATGAGCCTCTGGGGCATCAAAGATCTTCTTGAATTTCTTGTTAAATTCAATGAAATAGGTGTCAATGCCTTTGAATGCTGGAAGATGAGCCATGATGTAAAGTTGTCTGTAAACCTGAGTCCATTCTAAGTCATCCAGCCAGTCAGTTGGGTTTGGAATGATATCAATAGATCCACTTGGACCAGCTAAGAGGAATCTCCATTCGAATGCATCGATTTAGTTGTCACCAAATAAGATCTTAACAGTAAGTAGGAATGAGAACAATAGCTTATGCTTCTCAAACAGAGATCTGCACACGTTTTGATACAAAGATAAAGTGAAATAGTTGTTTAGGTTTGCAATTCTTTCAGTTACATCATTGGATGGCATTGAATTCTAGACTGCGTTTCCGAATAGAATTTGGAACCATTGAAGTGAGTACTGATACATAGGATCAATGATAGCTAGATCTACTATACAGAAGAACAGTAGAGAAGCTCTGTAGGCGACAGGTCTGAAACTCTCTCTTGTGCTATCGATTTCCTTCTCAGTGATTTCAGACTCCTTAAGTCTAATGGAAATTTGCTCTGAGGTCTTTTTAGACTCAGCTAGAATGTTAATGAGTTCATCATCTTCTAGAATCTAGGCAATGTTCTCGTTCTTTGTGAGTCCATGCAGGATTCTATCTTCAATGTCTCTTAATTCCTTAGCAGCTCTGGCATTGTCTTCCACAATTTAGTTCTTCTTTTCTTAGAGCTCTGGCAATTCAAGTTGCACAAGCTGATTGAGCATTTGTTCTTCAAGACCCTTAGGAGTGATAGCAAAGTTAAGGATAGTAACCTTAACTGAAGTCTCAGGGGAATAATGAGGGTTTGGAAGAGTGGTGGTTAGGAAGAATTTGAATGACTCATTATAGGTAATTACTTTTTCTCCCATTCTGATAACAAAGCCACTACCAGATCTGATCTTTTGCTGAAGCAAGATAGGTTCAAGGGCTGGGTCTAGCTCCTCGCCGATGTTTTCAAGAAGTACCCATTTTCCGAACTGAATGGCAAGCTCTAAACTTCTGAGGAGATTACCTTCTGAAAGTTTGAAGATATCAAGTTGGACTCCTGAATCAGAACTGTTGCCTAGGTTCTTAACGAACTTGTTGGCTTGAGTCTAGGGATCAATCATGAGAGGCCATCTTCTTGATTTGAACATAATAATACCGTTTTCAATAGAAAGATTGTCGTTAGGAAGACCAGCGACTGTCCACATTCTGATGATCACATCATCTCCGAGTACGTTTCTCATAGTCACGTGTGGAGAGTGCTTGATACTTAGTCTCTTAATGTGACTTCTCCACTCTTCTTCAAGTTCTAATCTGTACTAAGCAGTGAATGGTCCAGCATATGAGACCATTCCAGCAGCGATCAAGCAATCACCAATCAACAGAGTTTGTCTTTCCCCGAGAGTTTTGACAGTTTCAGTCCATCTTACCTTCTCGCCCTCGAGACCACTGATCATCTTCTCAGCTCTGATGAGTTTCTTACCGCAGTCCTCGATTTCAGCCTGCAGGGACTTCTCAGTTCTGATCAACTCGTCCATCTGTCTCTGCAAGTTATCCAACTTCTCATTGATTTCTCTGACCTTCTGTCTCTTTTCATTGAGATTAGACTGCACAATGGCTAACTTAGCACCCATCTCCTCGGCAATGGCCTTCTTAGGGCCCACAATCTTAAGTACTTCGTGATACTTAATCATAGCTTCCACCCAAATTCTGACTGCTACCAGCGCTCCTGAAGCGTTAGCGATTTTCTTCTCAGACATCTCTTCCTTTTCCATTAGTGGCTTAACCTTGGCTATTAGAGAGTCAGCGATGTGGTCCTTGTCGTATTCGATAAGTTACTGCAAGAATTTCTTGGGGTCGTTAAGTAGCTTTTGCTTGGCCAATTCGAAGTAACCTTCTGGATCATACTGAATCTTCTTGGGGTCATTTGGCTTCTTTGGTTTCTGAGGAAGCAACATAAAGCACACTACCATAAAGCATTGCACAATGGTAACTGATGGCGATGTAACTGCTTTGAGTTCATAGAAGTCATTGACATTGATTTCCTTGACCTTCTTGACAGCATTATCAAGAGCTGGAAGAGCAACAGCAAGATCGTTATCAGCATCAGTCTTGATAGTTATGACCTCCTCTTCTTGCTTGGCTGCAATGGCTTCTTCCTCAGCCACAATCGTCTTAGTCTCTGCAGCTTCGAGTGACTCCTTCTCAATGATCTTTTTAGTCTTCTCTACCTCAATTTGAGTCTTTTGCAGTTCTGGTCTCTTCTTTTCAAGCATCTCTCTGAGATTAGCGACCTCAATGGCAGCCTCGTAAAGCACATTAAGCCCTTTCTCTAGTCTACTCTTGGCATCTCCAAAGTACTTTCTTCTTTCAGCTAAGATGCCCTTGTACATGTTGAGCAACTCTAGATAACTGGTGGGAGTTACATAGTTTCTTCTTCTCAGCTCATCCAAGAACTTCTGTGACTTTTTCTCCACAGACTGATGCATGATTTTGAACATCTCAATGCAAGACTCTTCATCCTTGCCTAGATTCATGTCAGCGTCACTGATAGACCCACGACCTACATTTAATAGAGCCTCTTCTGGCCATTCTGTGAACCAATCAATGGTACAGCAGTTTACCAATGATGGGAACTTACGAAGACGAGTTCTAAAGATTTCTCCTAAAGGCGACATTGCTAAGACCATATGAATATTGGCCTTGACTCTTTGCAAATAGCAAGAGAACATATTCATCTTATTTAGAGGTAAATTCTTTCTCAAGCACTCACTCTTACCGATGTTGTAAATGCCTTCAAAGTCTTCGTTCTTGTACAGAGCTGGCACATCTCCTGAGTTCAGCACGTTGTTGATATCTTCAAGCATTTGCTCATTGATAATTTGAGTATCACAGAACAAGAACACTGTGGGTTTGCCTTCCACTCCAGCTTGCATCAGACAGGTCTTCATATTTTCTCTCCAGTTAGTCATGTTATAGCCCTTAACGACTTCAATTTGGTAAATTTTGTAGTTGCTGATATAGGTGGCTAATCTTGACAAGGACTGACGACCTGAACCTCCGACTCCCAACAATAGAGCGTTACCCTGTGGTTGTCTCAGGATTCTACAGATTCTAGATACGTGATCACAAGCATCCAAGAACATGATAAGTTTCATTGGATTTTTCTAGCCTGAATTGTAGTCCTCAAGATAACCTTCAATCTTTTTAACCATATCCTTTAAGTCGTGGACATATAGATAAGGCCTGATTTCAGTATCAATACCGTTTAAGTAGTCTCCAAATAAGATTCTCTCAGTAATATATACTTGCTCCTTTGTTAATTTGAAAGTATTAACTACCTCGTCATTCAATAGTCCATCTAAAGTGTCTCTATCTTCTTATGAGATCATTCTGTCACCGAAGACTCTCTTGTTTTCATGGATCCAAAGTCTGATCAATTCGACTACTTGTGTTGTGGATTTGGAATGTGCAGCACAAAGGCCTTGGAATATCTTAGACATATCTCTCAAGTTGAAAGTGTAATGTGATTTGTTTGGAGTTGGCTTAAGGTTGGTTGCTACAGCGTTGTATACTCTTTGAGTGGCCTCTACGATTTCATCAAGGCATGAAGCAATTTATTCTGAGAAACTGGAGAGGAAAGCATTGACAATCTTTGAGAAGATCATTGTAATACTATCTCTGCCAAGATTGGTGTAGGTTATAATGTTGAAGTGTCTCTCAAGTCTCTTTGTAATGGGAGATCTACCACCACCTGGGGGACCCATAGCGCAAATAAATATGATATCTTCAATCTTCATGAATGACTTCTCCTTGCTCTTTCTGTCATACCAACCCTGATGATCCATCCATTGTCTCAGTAATTCAATAGGGGGCTGAGCGCCATACTCTTCCTTCTTTGGCATGTTAAGATCGTCAACGAAGATGACGAAACGTTTACCTGGTGCTGGACCATAGACTCCCTTTCTTCTCTTTTCAAATTTCTCATCTAAAGCATCCTAGGTTTGGTTAGCAGAAGTTTGAGCTGAGAAGGTAACTGGAATAGTTTGATAGTCTTCTGTGAGTTCTGAAGTCAAAAGCTCATTGATATTGACAGTCTTGCCTGTACCAGTAGGTCCTGGTGAGAGTACGTGCTTCTTGTTCATTACAAGTATTCTTTTAAGATATTTCATACGGATTGAATCAAATGTCGGCACGACAATTTCTCCGAATCCAAGTTTATTATCAACGTTGTAGGAAGGAACAGTGTTTGTCCAAATGACCCATTCTTTATTAGTCTTGTTGAATTGATAATCATAAACTAGACCATCATGAGGGAATGGGTATTTGCAATCCTTTCCAATCATCTCTCTAACTTTCTTATCAAATCTCTCTCTACCATCAAGGTTAGTGGTGCATCCTACTGACCAGACTAAAGCGAATAGGAATAAACTTTCTAGGCATTATTCAAGTTCTTCGACTTCTTCAGGGGCAATCTTTCTGACTTCATTATCATAGTAATCAGAGAAGAAGCAGTCAAGAATTCTCATGAGACTTTGAGTGATATTGTTGTTCACAGTAGGTACTGGCTCAATGCAGTTTCTTCTCATGAATTTCAGGCATTCATTCAAGTACTTTTTGAAATAGTTATCTAAACTTGGAATGAAAGTCTTCTTATTCTTGAAGGACTAGGGAACTGTGTTCAACCATGATTTTATCAATGGTTCAAGTCCAAGAGCGCCTGGCTCCATATAAACCATACCACATCTAGAGACTGTAGCAGGAGAGGCTACAGCTAAATCTTCTACTTCGAACATCATTGTCATTCTATCAGTTAGGGTAATAATTTGACCTGAATTCAAGCAGAGTTTCTTGTTATCATCGAGCACTGTATTCATGTTTTCGATCCAAATAGCGTCGACTGGTCCATCGAACATAATCCAATGTCTTTCTGGAGATTAATCTCTTGCACAGTCAGCTACCATTTTAGCAAGTACTCCATCTATCCATTCAGTGGTTTGAGGATCTACATCTCCATAAAGTTGACCCATAGTTATTGATTTAGGATTCAAAATGTGATAATGCACAATGTCAAACCTTTCCATGTGAGATAGTTATGTCATTGCATGAGCAAGAGTCTTATAATTTTATGTCTTGCCACCACCTGTTGGTCCTACAAGCATAAGTCCATGACGCACAAGGATTGTATCATAAAGTTGAATAATCTTATCAAGGAATGGTCCGATTGGCTATAGATTGTGCTAAACAGCACTCTTCTTAATTTAATCTAATAATGCACCATAGTCAATATTTGGCCTCTAAACACCAGGGAAAAGATCTGAAATGATATTTTCGAATAATGGAAGATCGTCCTTCAAGAACTTTGGTACATTGACGTCTCTAAGTGCTCTAAGCAAAAGTTAATCTTCATTCATATCTGGGTCTTATCTTTTGAGAAGACCAGCTGCATTGATGACAGAACGCACGGCTCTCATACCATAATCATAATGATCTTGAGATGAAAGTTGCTCAGATGAGAGTTTGAAGGTGGTGACCATCTTTTTGGCTAGATAGAGAGCAGATGTAAATCCGAAGGAATACAACATAATTTGACCAATAAGGGCGTAATCTGGGACCATCATTGCCACTGGTCTGAAAAGAGCTTTCAAGTTATCTGGGAGTTCAGTTCTACCAGCATAACCTGGATTCATTGTGATGAAGACACAGAAAGTAGACTTGAGTTTGATTTGAGACTCTTCGAAAGTAAGTTCAGTCTCTCCTCTTCCTTTAGCTCCAAAGAGAATCAATAGTTATTGAGCGATAACTGACAATACTTCAATGTTGATTCTGTTGAACTCATCGAAACAGGCCCAAGCACCAGCAGATGCGAGACCCTTGAAGAATTTACCTACCATAATGTAGTCCATACCATCTGAGCAATTGAACACCACACATTGAATAGCTACGGCTTTAGCAAGATCCTTGGTTGATTCAGTTTTACCTGTACCTGCAGGGCCAGCTGGGGCACCTCCAAGATTGAGCTTCAAAGCTCCCATAAGAGTCATATAACACTTATCAGTAAGAGGGGTAATAACTAATCTCATAGTATTTCCAAGATATTCATATCCATAGGGGAAGTTTGTCTGGATACATTTTACCCTGCATTCATCATCCTCCCAGTAGTATCTAAGTTGAGAGATCCACTCAAATGCATTAGTATCATCAATCTAAGAGCTCTTAAGGTTTTCAACGACGTCTTTAGCGTGTACATCAATAACGATGAGTGCACCTAGAGTAATACTCTACAATTTAGTTAGTTTTCTTCTGACCTGCTTAACAGTGTCTTAAAGCTAGACGTCAAGTTGATGGCAGTACTTGGTGACTCCAGCAGTTCCTTCTTTTACCATTGCTTCTTCTACTTCTGAGGTCCAGTGAACTTGTGAACCATTGAGGACACATTGACCCGGATGAACTAAGATCCACTCAGTTCTAAGCTTAACTAGATATTCATCAACTGAGGACTTGAGAGCATGTCTAACACTCTTGAACATCATTCTTTCGACCTCTCCCATCCAGAACTCAACACCTTTCTCTCTTGGGTCGACTGTTTCCAAGAAATTGATCTTCTCTTTTTCTCCAGAGTACATAGCGATAATGGTCTTGTCAGTTTTGAATTCGAGATCTGCCATGTTCTCAAAGACTTTTCTGAGATGTGGTCTCACATTCTCAACTTCCTTTGTTTGTGATAGGATTTCAAGCAACTCATCATTAGATAGGAAATAGAATCTAGCGAAGATGGATCTTTTTTGTTCGAGATACTCCTTCAAACCTCTTTGGACGAGATCAAGATTCTTATTGGCATCCTAGAATTTTTCAAGAAGACCTTCTCTGAGACAAGACTTAAGAACATTGGGGTTTTGTTTAGTTCCAGCAATGATTTCTCTCCAATTTCTATCCACATTTTTGAACTTTTTGTTTTCTGAGGGTAGTTGCTTCATAATGTCTGGGGAGTCAAAAATAGGTTGAAGATACATCCATTGACCTTAGCACTTGATCCACTCATCGATGCATTCCGAAACGTAGAGCATGTTTTGATTCCATTCCTCGATTTCCTCTTCAAATGGCTTCTTAAATGGTGAGAATTGCATAGTCTGTGTCAAAACGATGTGCTCATCAAGCATTGCCATGGCATCATCAAAACCTGTAACTGAATATGTACCAGTAGCTTTGAAAGCGAGAAGATTGAACTCAACAGCCTCCCAATCTCTCTTCATCTTTATCAAACTAGTCTCAATATTGTATTCCTTTCCAGCTCTCTCTCCAATATCAACGCACTCCTCACTGTACTTGTGGAGATCCATCTCAAGGCATTGATTAAATGTGAATCCTTCATATGGCTTGACCTCGAAACCTACCTTCTCTGAAATTGCTTGCCAGTGGCGATCTTTCATACCCTCTGTTCTCAGAGCTAGTGCAAGTGGTACAAATGGCTTGAACTCCTCGACATCAGCTTTAGTTGACTCAGCAATCTTTAGGATGCCTGGAAGTTCCTTGTCTCTGAAAAGTCTGATGACTTAAGCCATAGTCTTGTTGCTTTGATCAACAGTTTCTTCTAACTTCTAGGCATCAAGCATTGCGAAGTCATCGTAAAGCCAGGACTTGTGACTCTTTCTCCAGTTGTCAACTGTTGTCCACAAGTTATAGTAGGGTTAAAAGTCTTTCATCATAATCTGAATTTAGGTGTAATCTGTATCTGGAAGACCAGTAAGCATCTCTCTGTTGTTAAATACCTTTGCCTGCTCATTAGCATTTTGAAGTCTAGCATAAATTGATCTAGTCATTCCTGCTACTTCCTCAAATTGATTGATATCTTGATACTGTTGGAATGATGAAACTAAGTTTTCAAGTTCAGCAATTGAGGCAGTAAATTCAGTTTGTTGACCCATCATCTGCTAAATGAATCTTTCTTGCTCCTTAGCTAGGTAAGCGTGCTGCTTGTCGATCTTCTCGACTGTTTCCTTTGGTGACCCGAAAAGTCTCCATTTCTCATCATAGTCTTCATCCTAATGGAATCTGTAGTTGAATTGACTTAGAATATCATAGATCTGCATGCATGTTTTCAAGTCTGGCATCAATTTCTCTATTTCATTGGGAATAGCTGACATGTAGTCCTTAATACTTGTGAGTTCCTCAATGTCTCTTGGGGCACTTTCTATCTTGTTGTTCATCTTTTCAAAAGCAATCAAGATCTCGTCAGCTTAAAGTTTAGCTCTCTTTGCTATCAATTCAATTTAATCATTTGCAATCTTGGTGTGCTTCTATGCAAGTGTGGCTCTGATTTCCTTGCAGCTGACCTTGAAGATAGACACAATGATGTAGTCTGGTATCTCACCCTTAAGTCTTTCAGCTTCTTCTTGGTGGAACAGAACATCTTTTTTCAAGAAATCTATCTCAGGAGGGTTATCATCGTCGTCTAATTTCTTGATTATAGCAGCTGGGTCTAGTTTATACTCCTTGTCATACTTATCATATGTTCTAATGTATTGCTCTAAGGGCTTGATTGCCTCCTCAAGAGCATCTCTTAATTTGAAATAAGAGTCAAATACCCAAGAATTCTCATCTGGAATGGACTTCTTGTCACTTGGGTCAACCTCATCGGGCTTAAGATCTGGCCTTACAGTAGATTTCAAGAACATCTTAATATTTGTTTTGAATAAATGAGGAAGGAGCTTTTACTCAGGTTGACTAATCTCTTAGAGAGCCTTGAGACCATTATCAAATATTAGCATAATAGTGGTTACTACATCCTAGGGACTGGTGCTGAACATAGGCACATTATTCTCACTGAGCATTAAATCAATCGAAAACAATGGAATAGGTGGCTTAACACCTTCGTTTTACTTTAAAAATTCCTCAGTGTAGAAATGGTTTTCAACTGTGTTAGAGTCGATAACCTTAACTGCTCTAGGTAAAAAGACAAATACAGAGTCAACGAATTTTTAAACTGATTTTTAAGTCATATAAAGAAGTGTATCTTGCATTAAGAACTTAATTAGAGTTAAGAATTTTTTCAATTTCCCCATATCATATGCTTCCTTGTTAGTTTCATTCAAATTGAACCAAGATTTTCCAGTTGAGGAACTCTCTTGGAAGTTATTCTTAATGATTTCCTTGATTTTATTGACCCAAGTTTCTCTAAGGTAATAAGAGGTTTAGGATATAGATGAAGCTTAGATCTGCTTGAATTCATCTATTCTCATGGTCTTTGTTATATTTGGATTGTATATATCCTTAACCAAAACATCATTGCACTCTTTCTTGATATCTTGCTGTGCTCTGATCACTTCGTCCTTGTTTTGTAAGGTATTGAAACAGAACTGTGAGAATTACTCTGGGAAGTTGTGAGGTGGAATGGATATCATTCCAAAGAATGGGGTAAGCTTTGCAGGTGGCTTTGCTGGGAGTCTCAAATTTCCAGTGATAAGCTCATTACCCTTTTCTTTTAAATGCTTATCAAAAACTATCTTGTTCATAGTCTTGGCAAATTCAAAGTTAACCTCGCTTAATAAAGTTGTGGTGTCTGATGAACTCTTGCCTCTCAGAGCTTTAGTATTCTATGTCATGCTTAACACTCTATTCACTTGATCATTGTCAATCTCAGGGATTTGATGAGTGGGCATATTTTCAATGTAGTAATTGTACTTAATAAGAGAATCAGCACAAATTCTATTGTTATAGGCTTGTTTGAATCTTCTCACAAATAGTCTTGGGTCTTCCTCCTCAAAGAGGATGAATATTCTGTGAAGTCTGCATTTCTCCTTGGTATTTTCCCAGAAACCTTCAAACCTTTCAGTTTTGGGAAGGAACTTCAGTACTCTCAGCTTTCTCCAGTAGCAGAGCCCGTCTTTGTCTTTCCAAAGACCTTGTGAATTAACACCCTAGAAACCTCCTTGAGAGGCATATTTAGCGATATTTGCAACTGATGTCATTTTCAGCCAATCTTGAGGTTTTTTAGTTTCAAATTCTTTGTCGTCATAGGCTTCAAGTGGTAGCCAGCCTCCTGGGGCTTTCTCAGGATTTCTAAATTCTATTCCCTATCACACAAATGAATCAATTTAAAGATGATATTACATCTGCTTGGAGCAGTTCTTCTATATCAAACTTAGAAAAATCAACTTAGTCATCGTCATTAGCTACCTTCTTTTTAGATGCATTCTATATACCAGCATTATGATCAATCTAATATGAGCAGTAATTACCTTAGTTGGGGAGTAAGATTGGTAATCTTATTGCTTTAGTTGGGGTGGCGGTTAGGCTCCATGAGGATTGAATCTTGGGATGGAAGAAGCTGGCAACTACTTTTGTAGCACCAAACCTATTCAAAATATATGATTAACATGCTTGATTTAGAATGGATGAGAGGGGTTATGGGGATATATTACCTCCTTTGCCTGCAGATTGATCCTTGTTGGGTGAACCTGCACCCATCGAAGATTTTTTCTGAACACTACTACTCATTCAAATATTTTATTATAAGTCGCTCTATTTATCTTTCTTATTTAATTTATTTTATCAGAGCATATTAAATCCACTAATATAATTAAGATTTCATGTGTAGGGGTTTTGGGGTTTTGGGGTTTTGGGG